CCGTTGCTGTGGTCTGCATGTTTGTGTCCCTCCAGAATTCAGATGTTGAAATCCTAACCCCCAAAGTGATGGTTAATAGGAGGTGGGGCCTATGGGAGGGGATTAGGCCATGAGGATGGAGCACTCATGAATGGAATTAGTGCCCTTATAAAATGGATGTCACAGAGCTCCCTGGTTCCTTCCACCCTGACCCAGAAGAGGACCCTCGCCCAGCCATGCTGCCATCCTGATCTCTTAACTTCCAGCCTCCAGAGCTGTGAGCAATACATTTCTGTTGTTCATAAACTACCCAGGCAGTGTTGTTTCATTATAACTGGACATGTCATGAATGACTACAGCAGCATGTCAACTATTGATGAGAAGCACAAAAATAACATCGAGGAAACAAAGCAGATCACACGAAGCATAGCAAATATGCGAGGATTCCATTTACAGGACGCTCAAAAACAAATAGGCCCAATTCAAAAATGGGCAAAGGACTGAAGAACCAGTTCTCTAAACGAAGGTATACAAACGGCCAGTAGGCATACAGTTATCAGGGAAATGCACATCAACACCATAATTTAAAAGGCAGATAATAGCACTACTGGAGGGAATTGGATTGGAACTCTCATACACTGCTGGTGGGAATGTATGATGGTGCAGTCACTTTGGAAAACAGTTGGCAATCCCTTAAGGTATGATCCAGCAATTCCATTCCTAGGGGTATATGCAAGAGAAATGAACACGTATACCCACACAAACACTTGTACACAAATGTTCATAATAGCATTATTTATAATGGCCCCAAAATGGAAAGAGTCCAAATGTCCATCACTGATCAACAGATTTTTCAAATGTGGCATAGCCATAAGATGGTATGTTATTCAACAATAAAAAGAAAGTATGAATACATGCTACAGTCTGGACAAACCTTGGAAACCTTATGCTGTGAGGAAGAAACCAGTCACAAAGGACCATATGCTGTAGGATTCCATTTATATGAAATGTCTAAAACAGAAATATCTATGAAAACTGTCAGCACATTAACAGTTGTCTATGGTTGGAAAAAGAGATGGGGGTGATGGGGGAATAAGGAATAACTGCTGATGGGCACGGGTTTCCTTTCAGGATAAGGAAAATGTTCTAGAATTGATTGTGAAGATAGTTGCACAACTCCTCGCGCATTTTAAAAACCATGGAAATTGTATACTCTAGATGGCTAAATTGTATGGTATGTGAGTTAGATTTTAATAAGGTTCTTTTTTAAAAAACAAACATAAAAACTGAATAGCGTATGAATCAAAGGGGCATATTTTGGGGTAAAATGATAAAGTTAACCAAGGTATCACAAGAGTAGGAGCTCTGTGACCTCGGGAGAAAGGAAATATCAAAGAACAATTCACATGGTATTCTTTTAGGAAAGCGTCTATTGGGGCGCCTGGGTGGCTCAGTCGGTTGAGCGTCCAACTCTTGATCTTGGCTAAGGTCTTGATCTCACCATCATGAGTTCGAGCCCTGTGCTGGGCTCTGCACTGGGTGTGGAGCCTACTTAAAAACAAAAACAAAAACAAGCAAACAAAAAAGAAAATGTCTATATATATGTAGTGAGATGAGAGCAAATAAGATAGTTAAAGAAATAACTCCAGCCTTCCTGGGAAGACAGAGCCACGTGCCACCCCTCCTGCTTCCTTCTGCTGTGAATCACAGAGCAGGATGGGCGTGCAGTGAGGCTCCACAGAGAGGCTGGGCAGGGCAGCCCCTCCTCATCCCAGGGCATCCGCACCCTGAAAACACACCTACACCTGCGCGCACTGCTCCCTTCCTTCCGCACAGACGGAGGGCCAGGCCAGAGCTGGAGCTGAGAACCCTGTTGTTTTCAGAATCCCTGCCACCGCTCCTCGGTGCCGCTGGGTCAGCTCCTCAGCCTCCAGTCTCGACACCTGTGTTTTCCCCACCACGTTTAAAAATGCCCTTCCCAAAAAAAAAAAGAAGAAGAAGAAGGTAGCGGGAGGGGAAGAATGAAGTGGGGGAAATCGGAGGGGTGGACGAACGATTTGACGATAGACTCTGAAAAACAAACTGAGGGTTCTAGAGGGGAGGGGGGTGGGAGGATGGGTTGGCCTGGTGGTGGGTATTGAGGAGGGCACGTTCTGCATGGAGCACTGGGTGTTATGCACAAACAATGAATCATGGAACACTTCATCTAGAACTAATGATGTAATGTATGGGGATTAACATAAGAATAAAAAAAAAAAATGCCCTTCCCGAGAATAACAGTGTCGTTTGGGCCCCCTGTGCAGGCACCTCCCCTTGACCCTTGGGTTTCCCACCTGCTTCTCACGGCGGCACCCTGGGCTCTCTGCATGGTTCAAGGTTCTCAAAAGAACATATTTTGTGGAGATGGTTAGGACATTTCACATTTTCCAGAATTCCTTTACTTCACGTGCTGCCCTGATATTGTACTCTTCTGTGACAAACACTCTGATTGTGGGGGCAAAAGCATATATGCTGACTTCCCAGGCAGGGCCAGAAGGGGGTGTGCTTGGGTGGGATGTCACAGAGGAGACAGGGCCTTGTGGGGAGGGGGGTGGGGATTAAAGAAGTGAGGGGGGAGGGTTCACAAGGGCGTGCATGGCAGATACAGGAGGTGGGGGGAAATCACAAGCACCTCGCTTGCTGTGCTTACCCCAAGAGTGACCCTTGGGGCACAGTTGGGTTGGAAAGGCTTCAACTTGATCCTCTCCCTACCAAAACTAAGGGTTCCAGCTCCCCTCCTAGCCTAGTGGTGCCCTTGCCTAAGCTCAGAGTCCTTCCCCGTGGCCTTGAGCACCAGGACAAATGGCAGGAGAGGAAGTCAGTGCCCATCTATCTCTTCCAGACTCCACCCTCCTATCTTGGACATGGGGTTCTGGCTTTATAAGAACTCCTGTCCCCTACCCCATAGGGCACACTCCCACCAAGGCCACCCCAGACGACTGAAGACACCTCTTCCAGAGTGGAGGCATCCTCTCTCAAGGTTGGGCTTTCAGCTTCCTTGATCTCAAGTGCAGCTGGAGAACTGTGCAAAGGACAGAATGAGCAGCGGATGCCGGCCAGGCTGGGGAAGGACGGGAGGGAGGTTCCAGGTCGGTCCATAATCAAGAAGATTATTCCCCCCACCTTTTCTTTTTCTTCTTGGGAGCATAGAGTACAAAATTCCCAGCCTTTTGCAATGGTCAGTGGGGGCTCCAGTGTAGACAGAGGGATGGTCCTCAAGTAGACCCAAATCCCACTGCAGGAACTGGACTGCAGAGGATGGTATTGGTGCCTACTTTTGGACTCAGTCTAAATTCCAGAAAATAAAAATGGACCTTAAGGAAGCTGACCTGTAGGGCTAAAAAATCATCGTCAGAAAGAAAACGTCAATAAATTTTTTTATAAGTTCAATAAATTTTAAACGCACAATATTTACGCAAGCCAAGTAAATCTAAGGAGAGCTCCCCACCTCCTTGTGAGCCCTGCCTCGGCCTGCTTGAGAGCCTGACAACCTGGGCCTGGGGGCTGCACAGGTGGCCTGGAGAGGTGACTATTGGGGAGGGGATTTGGAGGGGTAGTGCCATCTTACAGAACCCAGGGCAAAGGAGTAGAAGTGGGCCACCTGGCCCGAAGGGTGGGCCACTCCTTGAGTCTTACCTCAGCTTCTGACCCACGTACTAGGTCTATCTGATAGGTCAAGTTAGACATCCCTCCACCCTCCCAGGAGGCAGCAGCCTGAAGCTGGCCCCAAGCAGCAGTTTCCAGATGACTCTTGGGACCCACCCCGCTTAGGGTCCCCAGAAATGGCAGGGCCGTGGAAAGGCCTGAAAGGCACCGGAGAGGTTCCATGTACAGGTGGGACCATAAGTCAGTGAGGAGTGGCCCTGATGTTCCCGTGTCCCACTCATGTCCCCAGAGTGAGGCCAAGGCAGAGGGAAACCTGGCATGGGCTGCAGTGGTGTACTTTCTAAACAATGGAGTAAAGAGGCTGATGCCTTTTTTTCATCATAGGTACTTCTAACACTTTTTTTAAATTTTTTCTTTTTTTTTTTAGAGAGAGGGGCAGGGCAAAGGGAGAGAGAGAATCTTAAGCAGGCTCCATGCGCAGTGCAGAGCCCCACTCGGGGCCTAATCTCACAACCCTGAGATCATGACCTGAGCCAAAATCAAGAGCTGGGTGCTCAACCAACTGCCCCACCCAGGCGCCCCTCACCATAGGTACTTAAAAAAAAATGCTTGTTTACTTCCAGTTGTGCCACTTCTAATCATACCCTGGCTTTGCATTTGCCTCTTTTCTTTGCTGGAAATCAAAGTTCAAAGCCTCTTTGGTATTGCTCCCAACCCCAGTGCCCCAAGTCCTGCTCAGTGTAACCCCTTTTGGGGTGTGTCTCTCTAGGCCCGTCCTTACACTTTATATATATAAATTCCTTTTTTCTTTTTAGTGGAAAAGTGTCATCTTATTTTATTATTACTAATGTAATCATTTGATGCCAAAGACATGAAGGTAACTTTACAAACACAGAATGTTTACAAGTACATAAAATTTCCATTTTATTGTAGTTTTCTATCACACTAGTTCAAATGCATTTCTCTACAACTACTCCAACATAACTCCTTTGAAATTATTTCAGTCATCCTTAACATGTGACTCTGCCAAATACTTTGAATCTAAAATAAACATATAAAATTTTAATTATTAACTTCTAGATGAATGGGGTAAGAAAGTCATCAGGTCATGGTTGGGACTGTTAATTTCCAATAAGAAACTGTGTTGAAATGTTTCTTCTGATACAGTAGTTAGAAATTAGAATTTTCAAAAAACAAGGGCAGAACAAAAGTACAATAAAAGAAACTTCTGCAGCTTAAGCCTCCCATAGTCCTAAACCTCTGAGAGAAGCAAGGCAAAGCAACTTTCCTGCAATTTAAGTGGGTTTCCAGTATTTCCATGTAGTTGAGCTTTCAGAGATGGATGCTCAAGACATATCATTAATACATATATATCATCTTGGCTCTGGTTGTATTAATTATGCCTGAAGAGTTTAATACCCATCCAGGTCCAAAGGTGGAAGAACACAGAAACTGGTATGGTAATGGGCAGAAGCAGACCGTGAAAGCACAAGCTGGTTGTGTTGGTGCAGTCTTGTGGGGAGTTTTCTTCCACAGAGGCTGCCAACAGTCCTGCTAGAGATACCAACGGAATGAGGGCAGTCACCGTAGGAAGGGACAGAAACATTCTTCTCCCCCACTTATTACCTGCCACTCTTTTAAAAACATAAGTGGTATTAAGAAAATCTAGTCTATGAGATGCCTGGGTGGCTCAGTTGGTTAGGTGTCTGCCTTGAGCTCAGGTCATGGTCCTGGGATCGAGCCCTGCGTGGGGCTCCTTGCTCAGCAGGGACCCTGCTTCTCCCTCTGCCCCTCCCCCTGCTCTTGCAGTCTCACTCTCTCAAATAAAATCTTTTAAAAAATTTAGTTGTGTGTGTTGTGGTTTTTAATTATGATCTAGTGCTGCTCCAATTCTTATTATTTTAATGTGTCCTCCTAGCTGCCTGCAGTATCATATTAGGGATCCCATCAATAATGGGATAGGCTATTCCCAACTCTTCATTAATCAGTTCATTTGCCAATGCTTCATATCTGAGTGGCTTCTTGGGAGAGCGGGCGCACAGGAACTCAAGCAGCGCCTGGTCGAAGGCTCAGGGCTGGTCCCTGGTCCTCTCGCTCTTGTCTGCGGACGGCCATGACCCCGAGGCGAGAAGGCACCTATGGGCGCCCACGAACTGTGGCACATGTGGATCCCACAGTGCAGAGGTGAGGCCAACCGCATGCTCCGCTCAGCATGCATGGTCTGGCAGGCCACAAGCACCCGGCTCTGCGCCTTCAGCCAGCCCGGCTGCAGCCCATCCCTATATAGAAATTCCTTTATAGGAGGTAATTTTTCATAAAAAGTGTCAATATGGATATATTCGTGCGTGTTTGCTTGTTTATCAGTGTTTTTAGAGTCTGTTCAGATATATAGGTATGTGAATTCCTTGTAACTGTTGTATGTCCTGTTTCATCACCTGCACAGATCCTCTTTGATTTTGCCTTTCCCCTGTGGATGGACATTTAGGATGTACCTGAAGTTCCTCTGTTATAAGCAGTGCAGCAATAATAATCCCCTGCTCAGCTGGAGGGCCATAAGGCAGCAGTCCGCTACAGTGGGGGGGAGTCTATCCATGCCTTTGTTTAGAATTTCTACTGAATGGTGTTAATTAGCAGAAGACATGCGTTTACTCAGTAACTGCTTTTGAATTCCACCCAATGCACCCCTTACTGCCTTCAGAAATGGATTGCTCCCTCCTTCCTCCTCTGTCTTCCTGGTAGATACTGAAAAGTGGAATTATATTTCAATGTTCATGAGCATTGCCCAATGTTTGTTGCAAACTCCATTCCAAAGCTGATTTTTTTTTTTAAGATTTTATTTATTTATTTGACAGAGAGACAGAGAGCACAAGCAGGGGGAGTGGCAGGCAGAGGCAGAGGGAGAAGCAGGCTCCCCACAGAGCAGGGGGAGCCCGATGCAGGGCTCATTCCCAGGACCCTGGGACCATAACCTGAGCCGAAAGACAGTCGCTTAACCAACTGAGCCACCCAGGCGCCCCAAAGCTGATTTTTTCCATCAGCCTTTAAAACACTTTTATATTTGATTTTCTTCATCTTCTCCCACCTGGCCGCCTCAGTCTCCTGTGAACTCTCTCTCCCTCTACCTAGCCCTCAGATGGGACTGTCCACAAATTTCTGAGTCCAGCTCTCTGATATCATCCATTAGCTCCAGTATAGGTTGGTGAATCCCGCCCATATCTGACTCCCAAGTCCACACCCTGGACCCCTCCCTGTGAATCCTGGATGGGCCCAGGGTATCTCTGTTTACAAACAAAACATTCCCAAATTGAACCTGGCATCCCCCTTTCCCCACCACAGCCCTACCTCCCTTTACTGCTGCTTCCCCATCTCAGGTAGGGGCAGGGGCAACTCAGCCACTTTCACCCTCGGCCCACTGTCTTCACAGCCCTGTGCCCACCATCTTGCCTGGTCTGTGACTTAGGTTGTTTTTGTTTTTTGTGGTTTTTTTGCAGATGACAGGATTTTTTTTTAATTTATGGTTTCCTCGTTATTTTTTATTTTAAATTCAATTAATTAATATATAGTGTGTTATCAGTTTCAGAGGTAGAGTTCAGTGATTCATCAGTCTTATATAATACCCACTGCTCATTATATCCCGTGCCCTCCTGACTGTCCATCACCCCTTTATCCTATCCCTCCACCCTCCATCCCTCCGGCAACCCTCAATTTATTTCCTATGATTAAGAATCTCTTGGGACACCTGGGTGGCTCAACTGGTTAAGCATCTGCCTTTGGCTCAGGTCATGATTCCAGGGTCATGGGATTGAGCCCCGTGTCAGGCTCCCCACTCAGCAGGCAGCGTGCTTCTCCCTCTCTCTCTCAAATAAATAAAACAAACCTTTAAAAAAAAAAAATTGTCTCTTATGGTTTGTCTCCCTCTCTTTGTCTTGTTTTATTCTTCCCTCCCTTCTGCCATGATCCTGTTTTGTTTCTTAAATTCAACTTATGAGATCGTATGATAATTGTCTTTCTGATTGACTTATTTCGCTTAGCACAATACCCTCTAGTTCCATTCACATCGTTGCAAATGGCAAGATTTCATTTTCTGATGGCTGAGTAGTATTCCATCGTATATATGAACCACATCTTCTTTATCCATTCATCAGTGGATGGACATCTGAGCTCTTTCCATAGTTTGGTTATTGTGGACATTGCTGCTATAAACATTGTGGTATATGTGCCCCTTCGGATCACTACATTTGTATATTTAGGATAAATACCCAGGAGTGCAATTTCTGGGTCATAGGGTACCTCTATTTTCAACTTTTTGAGGAATCTCCATACTCTTTTCCAGAGTGGCTGCACCAGCTTGCATTCCCACCAACAGCGTAGGAGGGTTCCCTTTCTCTGCATCCTCACCAACATCTGTCGTTTCCTGACATTAGTTTTAGCCATTCTGACTGGTGTGAGGTGGTATCTCGTTGTGGTTTTGATTTGTATTTCCCTGATGCCAAGTGATATTGAGCACTTTTTCATGTCTCTATTGGCCATTTGTATGTCTTCTTTGGGGAAATATCTGTTCATGTCTTCTGCCCATTTCTTGATTGGATGATTTCTCCTTTGGGTGTTGAGTTTGATAAGTTCTTTATAGATTTTGGATACTAGCCCTTTGTCTGATAAGACATTTATAAATATCTTCTCCCATTTTGTCTGTTGTCTTTTGGTTTTGTCAACTGTTTCCTTTCCTGTGCAAAAGCTTTTTATCTTGATGAAGTCCCAATAGTTCATTTTTGCCCTTGCTTCCCTTGCCTTTGGCGATGTTTCTAGGAAGAAGTTGCTTC